CGGTTATTATAAAATTATGATGGGAATTTTTTTTTAAAAACAACCCAAACAACAAAATTACCCTTCCCCTGCTAATATATTTGACGGGGGTGAACTGCCAGATAGATTAACTGATTCGAGAGAAAATACGTTTCCTACTCTCTGCAGCTGGATGATTTTTCATCGGTCATGTAACTCATTTTCACTCGCCAATTGCAATCTGCCAGCTAAAATATATTAAAAATCACATACGTATAACTTGCCTCTTTAAATATCATTCACAAACGACGGATACCAAAGTACCTGAAGCAAAATTCATCAACATCGTTCGCAATCACGTACGTTTCGCCGTTGGTTACGCCATTGTGATTAGTCAGTGGTTGTCCCCCCTAACGTCAAAAATACTATATTGTACGGGGCTTATCGGCCGGGACTGGACATCGGTCTATTATCATTTAATAATTGATTTTTTTAAAGAAAATAGAATTATTAAATACATTTTGAATAATATGTTTTGTAAATAGACATATGATATTTTAAACATGGTAGTATAAATTAGCAACTGCGATTGTTAGTGGCTGTATCCTCGAAGGGGGTTAAAGCATCGTAAAATTATTGTCCTCCTGAGAGGGTACGTAAGTAGTAACTTTTAAACGTAGTATTATTGTTCTTTTAAATTTTGGCTAAATATTGCATACAATCACCAGCGGCTGAAGGGATGGTGTAAATCCAACTAGGGTCCATGCAGGTAGCAAAGGCACTGTAAGTCCCCATGGTTCTAGTATGGTGATCTACCTTCAGTTGTTGGCGACCTATAGCCCATTTTTATATTGTATTGTCTTTGTAACTGAAATATGTTTACATTTACTAGCTAGTTTTAGACCATCTGTGATATTCTAGATATATTACAGTCCTTCGATGACTGATTACTTAATAACTTGTATTTATTGTGTATGTAACACTTTTCTCGTCACTATATGGCTGAAATATTGCTGAGGTGACGTTAACTTTTAACTCACTCACACATCCGATACCGAATTTGTGAAATGACATTTGACACCACATCTCTTAAGGGCGTGTTGATACAGATGGGACGTAACTCTAAACCAACACAGTCACAGGGACGAAGCGATGCCTATCGCCCCCTTATCTAGCGTGACACACTCAGTGCGGAGTTCACAGCTGGAATATCCCAAATCTATTTTTAGCCATGGGAGGTTCTTGGATTGTTATATCAACCTCTACATCGCTTGGCGTCAAAGCTGTCATGTGACCAAGTGGGCCAATCAGCAGGGCGAAATCTACCCGCCATATAATAATGGTCATTATCGGCTCAGACCCGTATCATATTATACTTATACAATGGGGTAAGTAACTATAAGGTTCATATCGTTGTTGAAACATTATATTGCGCACCTGGTTTTGGAATCTGAAACGTCCACAGAGGTCGGTCAGCTCCTCCCACCTGCCCGTCGATGACTGACACACACTTGTGGTGTTCTTGTGACACGACAGGAAGTCGTCTGCGCAGGTTTACTTAGCCTCGGCTCCCATGTAATGGCCATCATACTTCACCACACTGTTTGGTATCAATGGTGGCGGAGAGCCACAACCTGGGAATTCTGTATGGAAAGGAGGACTCACAACACACTGCTTGGCATACTGTTATGTTTTAAAGGGCCTTTTTGACTGCCATGGAAAATGAAATAATTATGTCATCAAGATATGGTTAGCAAGTTGGGTATCCGTCAATGGTACTAAGAGGATCGGGTGGCCAGACCCATAGACTGGTTGGTGCATGTCATCATATATGTATTACACAGATTGGTGCCCAGTCGCTTTACTGACAAAGCACCGTCACACAGCTGGAATATTGCTGTCTGCGCATTAAACAACAGGAAATCTTCTTCTGATATTTGTCATCATCCTATCAATCATAATTTCTTAGCAATGTTATTTGTGCCACCAGCGCATTGTGTTTCTTCATACTGTGGCGAAGCTGGCCTGGTTGACAAGCTGGACGGTCAAGTCTGTTTACTTTACAGGCTGACAATTGAGCTCTGCACATGGACCAGCGAGAGTCTGTATAAACATCATCAAGATCACATTAACATCCCATGACAAGCAAAGTGGACAACTCTGGACAACTCAGGGACCGGCCACTTTACATTTGGGGGTGGGTGGTGGGAGCGTTGTGGCTGGAATTACACTAAAAGTAATGAGTTGTTCTGAACGCCCTTGCAAAAATAAATGTACATCAGAATGTCACGAAAAAGGTTTAAAGCCACAAAAAAAAGCATTGTTGCAAGGCGTTTCCCTTTTCACAAATATGTTCAGGTTCATGGTTTTTATCAACAATTTAAGTTGTTCAGCTGCAGCTAAAACTATCTCGTCTCCACACAAAATACCCCCTTCCCATTCCATTTAAGGATCTGTCCCTTGGAGATTATGACTAGGAAACTGAGCTCCACTTTGACATTTAACAAAATACGGTTTGGTGTACGTGTACAAAGGAATACAGATTGTATTTCGTTTCCTCCTTATGCCAGCAATAGGCACAGCAGCAATTCACCCGTTATCGGGTTCAACGAGACTGCTATCTCACCTCAACTCTTGACAGACTCTGAACCATCAAATCCCTGAGCATGCTCATTCCGTAATTACTTTTCAAGTGAACAATCGACTAACATTTTGTGGCCAGCACCACTGATGGGATCAGATAGACTCACCTTATCGCGAACGTCAGACTAGTGTATAGGCACTGAAATATGCATATTCATGATAAAGTCGGAATCGTGCACTTTATCGTATACCTTTAATGCCCCCGATATTTATATCATCTCGCCCTTTCATTCTTTAATTTGTTTTCAGTCTTTTCCGCATAAAATGGTGGCTGTGTCATGGCATGGCACTGTTTTCTCAAGAGCCCGTATCTATTCTTCAATCTGGAATCTTCATTGAACATTTCTGATGACACAAAGCTGTTTCAAGTTTTGATAGTGCTGACTTCGACAGCCCATACCTATTCCTGTTTTCGATTCACATCAACAGTTCTTAGCTGGATTTTTAGATGGGACAAAGAATACATGTTTCCACTGGTTTCAAGAATAGTTTATGATCTGCTGGATGTAACAGGGTTGTGTGCATTATATGGCGCATTATAAGTTGTTCACTGGTCGCGAGGTGGGCATGGGTTGATGTACCCTCGATGTTTGTTTATGTTCCCTGAGCCCGAAGGGCCCCGGAGAGACCAGTGAACAACGTATTTATCTTACCAACACCTTAATGTTAATTTGTTTGAAGCACGGGTACAAATCTTTTTGTAGCCATAGCTAGATTTTGCTGACAAGAAAAACAGATTTAGAGTTATCTCCCTTCCATCGATTTGCATTCGCAAAACATCGGTAATTTCCGCACATCATATGCGATTCAATGTTATTCGAGATAAACAATTACTACCACGAAGTACCAAATGAGTTGCCATTGACAGCGGGGTACATTGAAATGTTACTCCCTTGTAAGCGGGGTACATTGAAAATAATAGAAGAGCGCTCAGCCAATGAGAAACCGACATTTATGTGTGAGGTAAGATAAATTAACGTGTACATTCCATAGTCCCCTGTAGCGACTTTGAACATTGGTCACAAACATTATTAGCAGAAGGTTGTACACGGTAACTGCACCTTAACACTTACTGTATGACATGTTATTTCAATCGCATTTCGAAGGTCAACTTATACAAAAATATAGATCTATTGAACTCACAGCAGGCCATAAGTCAATGTCACTGAAGACATAGTCTTGTGAAGAGACCACTTTGGTGTGGTAGCTGTTGTTGCTGTTGAGTTGGCAGGTTCGTGTCACTAGATCGAAGTTAAATGACTTGCAGGTTGAAGGTCTGAGACACTCTGAAGAACAACCATATACGGTGGAAGGCTGCATGAAGTCAAATATATAGCCCGCCATGGCGCTATCTTGCTTCAGTGAAGAGTCCATGTCAAAGCAGGTGCTACATGTTACAGGGTACTTCGTACCTAGGACAACTAAGCACAGAACAGTGAGGTCCATCTTCCTTGCTGAGTCACAATGCATATCTCCTACTATAATGTACAGTTGACTTCAGCGTCTGATAATGCATCTACATGTCCCGAGAATTACAACAGAGACATCTATTTTTGATGCTCATCTTCACGGTTTGATTAGTTAGAATGAAGATGCATCACCTTATGTCCAGCAGTGCAACTATCGCTTGGAAACGGGCGTGTTACTTGGTTACAAACACTTACCTACTTTTGCTGTTTCATGATTGTTGTGACATTCTGTGAACATCGGTTTAAATATTCTGTCATTTGCATGTTGGCGATACATTGCTCCACATGACTTGCAATACATGGACCATGTAACAAGACATAGACTCTTTCTTTTTATGAAAGCGACGTAACTCAGCATTTGCCATCAGTTGTAAGGGTATTTCGTACAAATGACCACCAGAGTATTGCTTGTTTTAATGCCTGCCGGAAAGAAGTGCAACAACACACATCTATTTTTCACCGACAGTCTAATAATGTTATTCTACATTGCTTCACGACGCCTTCAGTTTCCTACCCGCTGTGCTAACCACCTGCAAATAATCGATTAATGGCAGACCAAACAATGGTAACGATCAACGGCCCATGTACAGGGGTACGGTCACAGCTAGGTAAAACACTGAGACCGGAACACAAGGCCTAATGTAACGTTCAACTATGCGCCTGCAGACATGTGTCCTGCCAACAGCTCGGTGAAGAAGGAAACGTCACCCATGGGTGAATAGAACTCTTCTCCACTCACGTGCTCCCTGGAACATGTGTTAGAGGTATATGGTTCGAATCCATCGGTCTTGACAAGCTGCGAGGCACCAGATCGAAGCATACCTATAGCTCTGCATCGGTCATTTTCCCCGAGGCACTTCATCACTTCTTAAGACTTCATTGAGTGGAAAAGATAAGCGTCCAATTGTCTGGAACATTGATGGCGATTACTGGGAATTGAACATAGTTTATTTTCCTTTAACGTATTTCAGGAAGCATCAATGTCTATGGCATATTTCTAAACAATTACAAAGTCAACAAAACTATCTTATGGCCTGGATATAGATGGTTCTGTCTTGTATTTAGCAATACTACTAGCTGACGTCATTCTGTCCTGTATAAGATATGTCTTATCAAAAACAGCAGATTCTACCGAGAAGCATTTTAGGGATACTATAGAAATGGAAAAATATGTGACCAGAAAAAAATAGCAGTATTTCGAATGTCCATGAATGTAGCGCTGTATTAGATATGAACTACAGCATACCAAAGCCTACTTTTGTTGTTTTGAAAGGTGAATACCTTGTATATCCATGACGTATACCATATACACTAACTGAGATAATTTGATAGAATTTTTTAAAACCAAAACCACTGTTCACTATTAGACAACATGTCATACCAGAAGACAGATTCTTTACCAGCAGCCATTCTGTTAATTCACTGTTTACACCATAGCCTCTAAAACCATGTATTATGCCGTATTCTGTCTACGTACGCTTATTAAATATCAGATAATACTATTCATTACTAGTACTGTTAGTTATTAAAATATTGACTCTTGATAATGCACACGGCTAGCTGGTGGACGGCTAAGTGATCTGTATAAAGTCCCGATTAGTATTCGTGAAACAACGAGTTCACACGAAACAATTGTGTAAATGCTTAATCACATCCCATTCGAAGACTTTCGCTGTTACATGTAATCAGTTAAACTGGTCGATGATCTGAGTAGAGAGTGCGATCGTGTGACACTGATTTTGTTGAAACGCTGAAGCATTCTTTGCACATACATGATTCGTATTTTCAAGACAGGATAGAAACGCCACGCCCTATCCAGTCTCTATTTCTAGACACTTGGGATGTTGCAGATAGTACGTTTATCCTAAATGTCCAACTTCAGGACCGTCCTGCATGTTGCGACATAAGCATCCGTGTTGCCTCTCTTCTTCTGAGGGCCTTTCAGAAAAGCAGCAATCCTTTCCTGTGACACCATCATTGATTTGAAAGCCTGAAATACAACAGTGGAGTAGAAGGACACGATAACACACATTATTACATTCTAAATTATATGACTGTAGCGTATTTGGAACAGATACCAGTACTTCTGGGAGTAGGTACACCTATCTTATATTTGTCTTGGCCATGTTCACACAAAGATTTAACATACTTAGATAGGTAATTTTGTAATGATTGTAATTTCTTTTTCAATTGAAACTTAATTTCAATCGAGGGAATTTGCATTTCGTAACATCATATTCTGTCATAGTGAAACGTGTCCCAGGTAGAGCAATAATAACACCATCAATAGACTCCAGGTGTGGATATCCTTTCATAACAAACCACCATCTTGATCACGTGTGTTGACACCAAGCTGATGTGTAACTGAAATACCGGCCTTGATTCCAACTCACTCACTCACGAACAAACGAACGACAAGGACTGACCTTCAGTGACGGGTAGTCTGAGAGTGTCTCCTCTCCGAAGTATTCCGTCACACTGAGCAGAACCTCAATCAGGCCAATATCAGCCAGGCTCATTGAGTCGCCCACCAGAAAACCTGTCCCGTTCTTTTTCAGGACCTAGGTAGGAAAAAAATAAAATTGCATTATATTATTTCTGTTTGGATTCAGCAGAGGTCAGTGGTGTTGAAGTTGCATTTTTAAGAGAAGCTTCTAGAACAACTTTATGGAAATATTTATGGATATATTGTAAGCCATATTACATTACACCAGCGGTTGTGTTATGTTTCACCCTGGATACACTCAAGCATATGCCTAGTCTGGAGACTTGACCACTTGCTGCCATGTGAATATTATTTTTCACTGATCTTATTGCTATTTCAATTGAATTAGAGCCAAGCATACATGCGTTTACATGTATTTCTTTAATTGCTGACATTCAGACTTGTTGAAAGAACGATAATTCATTGGAACATTCCATCTACATCTATTCTACCAATCACAGCAAATTCTATGTCAGCGTTACCTCGATCTAAAGCGAGATTTCGAATGCGTTTCGTCTTCTCAAAAATATATATTTTATAATATAGTGTTGTGATATGTCTCAGTATAAGTGTATAACTATGTTATTTCTTTCTCTTCGATGTAAACAAAAGGTGCACGTTATTTGAGTGTAAGTGTGTTATGACACAACAATACACTGGGTTGGGGCTTTCAGTGTTCACTACTTCTCATTCTTCTGAATCATGACATTAGGACTATCAACAACAACATTCATCCTGTGTACATCTAACCTGGTCAAAGATGGGCAGATAACGAGGTAGAGCTTTAGCTTTGGCTGTTGCTAACACCTCCTTTGGATCCAGGAAGCCGATCTTGAGAAAGTACGAGTAAAAGTCACGAGTTCCTTCGTAGAACATGTCAATCCTGAAAATTAATGCATACTTTCAGCGTACAAAATGTACCAAAAATAGTAGGAAGCTGGTCATTGAGGACCAAGCTGAAGCTAAACTGAAAAGAGGAGTTGATTTATTAATTCGATCCTTCTACTCAAAACCAGAATACACCTTAAACACTTTCAGTTTGTAATGGTGTAAAGTAATGTGAATGTGCTAAATGGGTTATTTTATTGTAAAATCACATAAATGGCATCACTAATATATTGCATGCTTCTGATATATTTCAATATGGATTTTTTTACAAAATGTCCAGGGTATTCGATGTACACATGAACACCTGGTGACACTACAAGACATTTAAACCAATATTACCATACGTTTCGGTTATTTAGTGTTCTGCTATTCTTCATGGCACGGAAGAATCGTAAAGGAAAATGGTAATTTGAAGACAATAATCATTTCACAACATAACGCTATTTCCTTCATGTACGCTCTCATAACTGAAGCATTCTATTATGGTTGAAGGTGGACGTCTGACGCCACACCAAGACTACGTATAAATCATGATGCATCATCTCCGTAACAGATTTGTTGCAGCCTCCACTAGCAGACAGTTGCTCAGGCGTATGGAATCGACTTTGCGCCGCGGGTATCCGAGCGAGACGACCCTGCGCAGGACCTATACTGACCAAACTTCATCGTGCTCAAGGATTTCGTGGAACAGGATTGTCACGCTTCACATTGCGCTTTGCTGATGACAGGGAATGGATGTGACACAGGAGACAGGAACGTCATCCTCTGTGGTGTGTTCGTGAAGATGTCCGATTTGGAAGGGTCAGTGTAATGTTTAGGGGAGAATTTTATGCCAACGGCCGATCTCAACTGATTGGGAATCGTCTTGCTAGTATCAAGACAAGCTTTGACCCTAGTCCCCCTGCCATTCACGCAGCTGACATTTTAATATGACAACAATACGATCCATTGGCAGTTCTGATCCGCAACCTCTCACGTGAGACTGGTGATGACACCATGGACTAGCCTTCGCGTTACCCAGACTTCAGCCCAGTCGAAAACACATATGGGAAGACCTGGGAAGACAAATGTGACAGCAGATGAATCAAACCCAGACCTTTCAAGAACTTTTCAAGCACTTGTTTACCAATGGCGGCAGCTTTCAGTAAGAGTGTTCCGACAGGTAGTCATGTCCATGGGAAGAAGTTGTATGGCGATCACGACCTCTCTATAAAGTCACATGCTATTGACATCTTCTGTTCCAACAGTCATCAATGTTATTATTACCTGATTGATAACAGTGTGATAGACGTCTATTCTCATAATAACGCACATACCAATTTCATTGTGGGATTGTATTTAACAAGTGTCCAGTTTTAATTCGGTTGAGTATACATTCATGATGTGTATGAGCAGTCTTACTAATTAAGTCAAGCTGATGTCAAAACCGGATATATATGTTTTCTATATCTGTCATGGCAGCTGTTTTAAACTGATCAAAAAACATTTGTCGGGATTTTACGGAGACTGCAAATGTATGGACGAACGGTAAACCTTCCTGTGACCATTCATGGTGTGGTTTGTAATCTGATGTTGACCATACGTTGACCAACTTAATTGTAAATATGTAAGAATTTTTAGCGTACCCTATGTTCAAGCTCACTTAGATTTTTCTTCATTTGAGTGCCCATCTAATCCTCCCTTCCTGGCCACGTATCTCACAATGGCGGGAGTTTGCACCAGCTCCAGCCCATCAATCTCCAACAGGGGCACCTGATGAAATATTAGTTTCCCATCTGTAACAAACATACATGCAGCATATATTTAGATTATCTCTATTTGTAAAACATGGAATGGACCTAAGAAATAACTTGTTGAATGGGATTTCAGATTTACCTTACTCTAAAACGTCCTCCTGATTACCACCAATTGTTAAATGAATGCTAGATTTTTGTCATTTCCACTGTATCTACTAATCGGTATATTCTCAACCAGTGTATTTATGTAAACATGTATGTGGGCTGATGGCCTTTGATACAATAAAACACCTTTTACTTGACTTGACTTGACATAGAGCTATCACCTGTTTATATGCAAGTATAATGCAGGATTTTAATTTACTTTACTTTGACTGTATATGTTATAGTGTGGTTGGACTGTATGTCGTGGTTGGGTGGTTGCATGGTGTAGGAATCAGTCAAAAAGCATGCAAGGTGATGTTCGGTCAAACGCTTGGGAAATGTGACAATATAAGGTGCATGACAGGTGTATTAAGTGCAGTCATTGGAGAACACACTTCCAATATGGCTGGTTGAAGAAGTGGCTGGTTTTATCTCATGACGTAAGTAGACTTGAATTATTTAGAAATGTTTACAAATATGTATCGCGTTGCTTCATAATGTTCCATAATTATAGGAATGTACAGATAGTTGTGTGGCATAGTGAATTATCAAATGCAGTAGCACTTATGTGTAAATCTCACCACTGAATTGTAAGTGAATTGTTGTATAGATGGCGGTCGTAAAAGTATGTATAATATTGCAGTAACAATGTGTTCAGATGGTTATTAGCATAATCGCTTGTCTGTGTGTTGATAACGTTCGTTATTCTTAGTGAATTGTAATGCTGTAAACATTCTGAGTATATAATCGAATAATTGATAAGGTGGGGTGAGGTGAAATTGGGTTTAACGTCGTGCTTGAGAATATTTCGCTCATATGACGACGTGCATGCGTGTGTATGTGTGCGGCTGCTTGTACTAGCCCAGACTAAAGCTGGTTTTATAGTGCTAGCCCACTGAGATACCATGCCGCAGTGAAGCATGAATACCCCACTCAGACACATTATACTGACTCCGAGCCGACCAGTCCTTGTTGTACCCATTAATGCCGAGCGCCAGGCAGGGACCAACAAGTACCATATTTTGACGTCTTTTGTGTGGTCTTTTGTATGACGCGGCCGGGGATCGAACCCACGACCTTCCGCTCTCCGGGCGGACGCTCTAACCACTACACCACGGAGGCGGTCGTATAATTGATAAGCACACCCTATACTGACATTGAAAATTGTTACACTCGCACCTTCTGGGCGCGTCGCTCAATCACTGCTACTGAGTATGGGTTTCGTTGATGAATTTGGATGATGAACGTTGGTCAGACGAATGATGGAATATATTTTAAGTACCAACATTTACACCACTATATATTTTGCAAAGTTACTTATTTCTGGGAGAATAAACATGATTACCTTCCAGTAACTTTTCATATTCTTGCCTCTCTTGGAGCAATGTTTCGGTGAACTGAAAGAGACCTTGAGTTAACTGTAACGTCAAATTGCCTTCAAAATGTATACTGAACAGCAAAAGAAACGCAAGTCTGACTTTTTGTCAAGTTTTTAAATAAAAGACTACTAAAATATTTGTCTCATCATATATTCTATAAAAAAAACACTATCAATTTAACAGCTGGAAATTGCTGTTGACATTGAATTGCAAGAAGTTCAAATTGATCACAGTCCGTCCAATGGAGATACCCCTGAACGCGAAAAGTGACAGTCTCTTTAGTAGCGCTTATAGCCACCTTGAGCTTGCACACGGGCCGTGCAACGTTGCCTCATTGAGTTCACTATGAAAATCTGAAAGAAGGCCTGAGGCAAGTGGTTCCACTCAAACACAAGTCTCTGTTCAAACTGTGCAAGTGTGACTGGCTGTCTACCTGCAGCAATCCCACGTCCAATTTCGTCCCAGAATGTTCAATGGGAGCCATATCCGGGGAAAGAGACAGCCATGGAAGAATGTTAATGTTGTTCTGAGCCAGATAATCGATCGACACCCTTGCTGTGTGAGGGCTGTAAACGTCGCTGGCGTTGTTGACGTGTCAAAATTGGCCCCACATATGGCCGTCGGCAGTGGATTCCGGCAGCTCGAAGACGGCACCTAATCGTATCGCTGGACACTCCCCTTGACCCATGAACTAAGGCTGCTGTTACTGTTGCTGCTGGGGTTCGGTTCCTTAGATGAGTGACCCGGATGAACCAATCTTGCGCATGAGTCCTGTACGGGGACGATCAGTAGCAACCCCGGTTTGCTGATGACGTTGAGCAAGTCTTGTAAGTGTGGTAAGATGACAGCCCAACTGTCTAGCTACAGCGGTTGCAGAGCTACTTCCATGCAACTTTCCAATGGCCATTCCTCTCTGCTCAGTCGTTAGTCTAGGCACCGTTTGTGTGGCGTGTACACCTCCTAGCGTCAATACTGAACTGTTTTTTGACGCAAACTTTTATAAAGGAGACATCAGAGTGAAATGCATGCTTTCCATCCAGAACCGTCGATGTACGTGCTAAAATTATGGTTTTTCTGCACCGTGGGTGTGTTTGTACGAATGTTTCATATGGACGTCAAATTGTATGACATCATATCATCTGGAATCATTACGTCACTTTACCATGACATCTGGTGTCCACCGATGTGATCTTGCTGGAATATTTCTAAACTCACTAACTCTCTCCATTAAAATATATTCGGGGTCTTATAATGTAGTTAAGACGGCACTGCTGATGTGCATTGTTGCAGTTGGTTATTAATCTTTGCAACGACGTCGTGCGTGGACCAGCTAAAGTACTGTCGGAAATGCTAGAAAAATGCTTTTTGACTTATATTTAAAATTCAGAGGTAATACAGTTACTTAAATAACAAATATCACTTTAAGAAACATCTACCTAATGTAGACCGAGGGAATAAATTTTGAGACATGCCCTAAAATGCGTTTTTACTGATGAAAATACCAAAAACTTAGAAAAATAAGGGGTAATGGGACGTTATTTGATACAAACATTAACTGCCTGTGTTACGTCATCAGCATGCACGGTATCGACAGGTGAAATTGACACCGGAGCACCCGCTCGGGCGAGGGGTCATCTCAATAGATGTTTTCTTAAAAATGTTGAATATGTGTACGTATAGTATACGTATTGGTTATGTAAGGGATCATTTGTGTATGTGTGTTTGTTGTGAAATAAACATACGAATTACTGTACATTGGAAAGAATCCTATCACTTGTGTTATCTTATCGATTGATTGTAGAAATGTGCAACGTTTTAATGATGTTTTGCATGTCAACAGTATATTTCATTGCAAAAATATGGATGTAATTCGGTCAGTTTAATCTAGTTGTGAACATTGACCAAAGACTTAACGAAGTCACTGGTGTAGATTCTTTAGAATATATATATTCTTCTTCTCCTAAAGTTTGTAGACCGCCCGTCTAAGTACTCCCTTGTCAAAGTTGTCAAGGATGGTTTTACGTCCCGGTTTTGCTTTTGAGACGGTCCCTGTCTTGTCTGATTCGTTTACAATATTGTAAACTTGTTGGTCACACATACCAATAGCTCTACTAGTTCTGTAATAAACCATTTCTATACTAATGAAAGGTTTACCTCTGTCTTTTTCAAGCACAAAAACCTTATAAACCTTTGCAACAATCCTCTGCAAATAGTTGGCCATAGTGGACGCTGTGATAAAGATGTGCATGCATGACGGGAAACTTATTTATCAAGACTTAACATTTATATTAATATTTCTTCAATAAAGAAACGATAATTAAGTAAAGTAACAAAACATTCAACATTTATTTGTTTTAGAAAAACGTTAATTTATATTTTTACACCACCTGTATTATTAGCATAAATGTAAAGACTATTTCAGATTCCTGTTGTTGAACTCTGAAAAAACACAAGAAAAAAAATGGTGATTTAGGAAGGATTTTACTACCACTTCTTTCAATTTCTCCTCAACCCAAGGATCCCCATGAGTGTATAGATATTTCACGCATCTATTGTTCTGTTCGAGTTCTTATTGTTGATATACATAATGCATCTTGCATGTGACATATTTATTCATGAGAACTGCAGGAATAGGCCGTATTTTGATATTATCCATTTGTGCTTTATATTAATGTAATTGCATCTGACGCGTGAAGAGATACATTTTTGAAAGTTGGGATCATGTTTAAAGTAAGTGTTTTCTATTCGCCGTCCTATGCAATCAACTGGGAACCAATTCTATATAATAGTATAACTTCACTCATCTTCATCCTTTTTGTTCTAAGTGTCAAAAATTGATATTGACTGTCATATTTGCCCCTAGTATGGCTAGCATTTTCTAAAATACTGTTTTAAGTGTATGTTTTACTGTTATCCACAGAAGCGCAAATAATGTTTCCCTTTTCACTGTTTGTATAAACACAAATTACATAGACCTACGTTACATTATGGATTAAAAAAAAGTTTACAGGACTCACTGACTGACTGGGCAGGGTTTATTACATGTCATAAAAGTGAACTCTTGCCAGGGAATAATACACATATCGTTGTAGAATACATTCTCTAATTGGTACCGTCTAGTTAACACCTGTCACAAGGGATGGGCCGTTTGGGTTTATGGTCAGAGATGGTGTTATGCAATTGATGTATTCACGAAATATCATGAACTTGTTAATAGATAATTGCTTATGTTGTCCACACACGGGCGGACTTAGGCAAAAACGGTGGTAACTTCTTTTGCCAGTCGGGCAAGTTATTTATTTTAAGAGTAAGAGGATTATGAGGCATGGTCGACTGGGTTTGTTTGTTTAACTAATCCCACACGGCCTTCACTAGTAGAGGGAATGATTTTGGTTCAGTTATTACATGGCTGTTCTCCATACATCTCCATGTATCTAGAGCAGCAATAACTAACAATGTTGTTTTACTGTAAGGTATATAAGGTGCCATGTTATGGCAAGTCTTCACTTTATCCCATGATGGCAAATGCTTTGGTGAACGTTCAGTTTGTTCCAAATGGTCGAGGTGGTAGAAGTTTAGTGTATCAGGGATATAAGTTTCGAATTATAACTAGCAAGCGTGATACAACACATTGGAGATGTTGCTATCCTTCTTGTTGAGCAACGATTAACACCAGGGACGACTTGATCAAAAGCTACAGAGACCATTTCTTTGTCGCCCTCAAGGATACAGTGAGAACAGACCACAGGCCATTTACACAAGTGACACAAGTGGACTATCATTTGTATTTTTATGTTCGCATACATAAATTGATAAATTACTAATCACAATCATACATAACACATAACATACATAACTGTACACAATGTTTAGCATTATGTAACTGCGTAAATATAAGAAATTGATAAGGTACTAATCACAATCATACATAACACATAACATACATAACTGTACACAATGTTTAGCATTATGTAACTGCGTAAATATAAGAAATTGATAAGGTACTAATCACAATCATACATCATCAATGTCCACAATTATGGTTCATAAACAACTGACTTTAAAGTCAAATAAGATGAGAAACAGCATCTCCATATTCTATCATGGTCTTCCTTCCTGCTTGAAGATAGTCTTTTTCTCTCTGTAGTCTATCGTTAAGTTCTCTGTATTTTCGTTTACTGGGTCATTTATGTATGCTGAACATGAAAATACAAATGATAGTCCACTTGTGTCTTTCTTGGCTTGGTCATCTCCTTAGTGAATGAATGAATGAATGAATTGTTTATTAACGTGTCACGCATAAAATTACAAGGTATACACACAATAAATATACAAAGATAAAATAGATTATGCAGGGCCTCAATAGGCCGAAGAGACACGGTATAAAACTGTAAAATATAACTTATTTCAATAAGATAAAATAACCGTACAGTACAATGTATATATAAGGTACATAAAATTGTAAAAATATTTAATAAAATAATGACTAGATAGAATTAGTTGAAATATTAGTCATCCCCCACCCACCCCCACCATCGTCTTGCTAATTAACATGGTCTGGTGATCATCTTAATCCCTAAATAAACAACTTGCCCGACTGGCAAAAGAGGAACACCCTGCAAAAACAACCCAAATGAATTCCTTCTTTAATAAATTATAGTGTAACTAATTAATTTGGTCATTTACAATAAAAGGTGACTAAATGTTTAATACATTATTCACTTTAGATCACGTTGAATAATTTCTAGAGAAATCAGTACACAAGTTTATATCACAGATGATTCCAGAAACAAATAGTTTATGAGATTCTAGTTTATGAAAAGCATTAAAGGGCGTTATTGAAAAATGTTTCTCGCTAACAGTCTAATTACGAAACCTAGCTGCAAACTGGTCAGCCCCTGCTCCCTGGACCGTGACGGACGCGGGGACCCTGCTACTGTCCGCCTTGGCAGAATCTCTTCAACCTGATCAGTGGGACATTAGGAAGGGTGGATGCCCATCAGATGCCGTTATTTGAA